GCTGGACTAAGCTGAGACTGGAGTTAGCACTGGAGCTTTGAGCAAATCTTACAAACTTTCTAAGTTCCTGAATGTTAATCTGTGAAGTGAACATAAGAATACATGGTTCACATATCATTTGAAAGCATTAACTTAAATTTAAAACAATCAACACAAGAAACTTGTCAAATAAATTTATCTGTGATAACAGCAACCATACATTCTTGGTGTTGTATGCCCAGGCCTTTACTCAATGCCTAACATATAATGTGCTCTCACTACATATTTTATGAATGTGTAAAGATTGGGAAGTTGAACCTGACAATGGGAAGATCGATGAACTAAAATTGAATTGGCCATAGGTAGTCAGTGTGGAGTCATAGACTCTTAGTTAGCAGAGTAAAATACCAAAGTGTATTGAAGGACAGGTGATAATTTGATGGGAGGAGATTGTGTGTTTTCTGGCAAGACAGGGACTAATGTTTCAGACCCTACAACCCTTGTTCATCTGCTCTTTTCCAATGTTGAACTCAGGAGAGAGGAGATGGAAGTGAGGGTGAATAGCCTATGAGAAAGAAAGGGCCCTGTGTACCAAGAGGTCAGCAAGCCCCAGGATGATGACTTGGTAAGTTGACCCTCACCAAGGAGCATGTTATGTCTTGATGCAATAATTTCATCTGGTCATTGGTCCCCAAATCATTTTCTTTCTCTCATTACCTGGAGTACAGGATTGAGGCTCAATGAGGTGAGTGTCTGGGCTCTTTCAGAAACTCTTTATTTTCAGCAACATGCACTATACCTTCACTAATCCCTGTTGTTCTTGCCTCCAGATTGTGAGAAGTGTAAGAACTTCTTCATTGACAGCTGTGGTGTGCAAGGGACCTCTACATTTGTAAAAGACAGTGCAATGGACAAAGGGCATGCCAACTGCTCAGCCCTCACTCTGCCTCCTGAGTTGAGAATCAGACCATCAGACCTGTGGCTGGGCTTGTGTGTGGAATGAGGAATGTGATCTGCCAGTTCAGGCATCCCTGCAGCTGGACTTGGAGTGTGGAATGAGGAATGTGATCTGCTGGTGGGCCTGCACTTTGGCCCTTATGAGGGCCAGATCACAGAAGATAAAGACACAGCCAGCAATGGATACTCCTTGCTGGTGAGAAGTTTACCTCTTTCCCTTGTTATGGCTTCCCATGTCCTTCCTGTGGCTTGGTGGGCCCCCAACCTTCTACATATTAGGACATGGGTGGGGATAATATTGTTATCTCTGTGTACTGAGCAGACTTTGCATGAACAAGGAGTTCTCTCTAAGGATCAGAGGGTAAGTGGGAGCAAAGTGGTACCAGCTCATCCCTTGTGGGGCTCCTGCTCTTTGTGGACAAATTAACTCAGACCTGTAGATTATGAGTAAGAACAGTATCCTGTGATCACCATTGGCAGTTGAATCCCCATGTAGGCTGAAAGAAATTTGATGACAGTAGAGTAAAATAATTCTTCTGCTACATCCACACAAGAATGAGAAAAAGCCTTTAACTTATTTTTTTTTTTGAAATATAGATCACCAAAGGGAGAAAGTGCTATGAGTATGTGGATGGAAAGGATACATCTCAGGCCAACTGGATGTGGTAAGGTCAATAGGCTTCTGGGTGCCAGAGAGGAAACTCATGCCTCACAAGCACATATATCTTTCCTTTTCATAACACCTCTCACAGTGGTCTCCCTCAGTCCTCTGTTCCTCTTTTTTCCCCATACACTGATCTTTCACATCAAGAGACATTTAGGAAAAAAGGAGGTGAAAGTATAGCATATGTCCTCAAAATACATATCTCCAATTTGGGCACTGGGGAACCTTGAGGACCCTGGCTTACACTTTATTTACTTGACATTAATTAAACACGTAATATGTTCCAGTTTAGACAAAGAAATTAATAACTTGAACAGATCACATAGCCCATTGTCCTTATGGAGGACTTATTGCAGACAGACATGGAAACATTGATTTCAGAAATATTTAACTATAATTTTCCTATTTTTTAAAAGTGCACAGTGCCTGGATAACCTAAAACTGCGAGTGAAGCAAATCATCTAAGCCTTAGTTCTAACTAGAACTGGGATCTGAAGCTTGTAGAGTTATAGTGGTTATGGAGCCCCCCTTTCCTGAGGGGCTCTCTTTCATCAGGGGATACAGATTATGAATAAACTACTATTGTTCTGTGTTATTTTGCTAAGACAAAGAGACCTATGTGAGAAACTGGGAGAGGCAAGTGAATGATGTCCTAAATAAGGTGTGGAGCTATTTGAGAAAGGCCTCTCAAGAGAAGATAGACTTGGTCTGAGTATTGAATGATGTGAGCTAATCCAGAAGCAGAGTCCTAGATCAAAAACCAAGTTTTGTGGTTTGACACAGAACCTGATTTAGAGCTTAATGAAGCTAGAGGTCACCGGGTTTTATAGCAAAGTCTGGAATCAGGCTTTGGAAATGGTACTAAGCAAGATGAGCACTCCAAGTAAGCCAGACATGGCGACAGGAATTCATATGACCTGTGACAGAGGCTCAGACATTGAACAGAAGCTTCCCCAGGAGCACTGGGGGGAGTGGGTGACATCAGAGCTGAGGGCCTTGAGCATCAGTGAGGAGCTGGACATGGATATGACAGGTAGTAGGAACTCATCACTTGTGGTTTTCTTTCCTTTCATCTGCCTCAATCCCAGGTATGTGAACTGTGCCCCAAATGGTGAAGAACAGAACCTGGTGGCCTTTCAATATCACAGGCAGATTTTCTACTGAACCTGCAAGGTCATTAAGGCGGGCTGTGAGCTGCTGGTCTGGTATGGGGAAGAATATGGCCAGGTGCTGGGCATCAAGTGGGGCAGGAAGTGGAAAAAAGATCTTGAAGTTGGGAGAGGTAGGCACCACTCTTCCTCAACAAGGAAAGAAAGAATTCTCAGAAATTTCCATGGCCCAACTCTTAAGTAGTGGAGTCAAATCCACTCCAAAGTTCGTAAACTTTCAAATCAGATGCTTCAGAAATTACATAGGTCTTTGTTTCCTAGGAAAAATTTTAATATTTTACATTTTTGTTCTACCTTTTAAAATTATGTATTTATTTCATTAATTA